AAAACTAAAAACCGCCTATAGGCGAAATGCTACAATGTTTCACCTCTGTCATAGACTTGCTATGTCTGTGGCGGCTTATTGAATAGACTCGCGACGGATGGCGTCGTCCGTTGCAGTTCCGCGTGAATTTTTGAACCACCACGGTTCCGGCGGTCGAAAAGCAAACACCGTCCGATTTTTTCAGACGGCGATTGGCCTATTGGCGAAATCACTGTAGCATTTCGTCCATTGGCGCAGCGTAGATGCTTCCATAAATATATATATATATATATATATATATGTATATATATAAAATAAAGGTTATTCCTTTTTTTTCCAACACATTTACCACTGCTTTACTTATTGATGAACCAAATGGATTATACTTCACTTGTCTCGCCTTTTAAGACACTAGAAATGACTACCTCTGACTCTACTGTTCCAGTGTTCGGTGATTTTATTTTGTACTCCTCTTCAAACTAATGTTAAACTTCTATTTACATCTGGTAATGCTTCTACTCAAGTGAATGTCATTGTTACCTACTTGTCTTCTCTCATTGATTCAAATTTGTTTGACTCCACCTGAATCAGCTCATGAGCATTTTGGGCTACATAGATTGTCCTTCCTGGTCTGGTTCCTCTTTCTCCTTGGACCCAAATGTTCACCCAAATGCACACATGCATTAAGCATCTGAAATCTAAAAGACCAAAGTTATGTCTATTTTAAGAATGTACACATATCCATGTATAATTGAACTTGGGACAGAAATTTTCATGGAATACTCAAATTACTAGGCATATTAAGCGCTAAGTTATGCAATGGCTTCATTTTTTTATTAGTTACTTGATGCTGGGCCCTCGTACAAATTACTGGGCATATTCAGTGCTAAGCAATGCAATGGCTTCCTTTTTTTTACTAGTGTAGCTTATTCTAACATTTTAGGGCTTTCTTGGCATGCCGTAGCTTTTTCTTTTGTTTGGTATGATGATTCCTACACTGTTGCCGCTTTATTGCCGAATTTGACAGGAGGGACCTATGCCAGTCAACAATAAATTACGTTATCGTCCACTTGATGTATACCCTGCACCCCTTCACAGATGTTAAAGAGTTATTTGTTTGATGGGAGTGGTACAGTTCTGAGCCACCTGGGAAGATTTGGCCATTGATTTGTATGTGTGATGCACTGCAAAGAAAGCTTCTTTTGGGGTTAAGAAGCAAGCAATGCCACCTATGCTTGTGATCTTCCAAGTTTTGACCCCATTTTGATCTGTATCCAACAAGTAATGCAAAATCAAAGTGGAAAACTTCCAGGGGAACCTGGGATAAATCTGAGCAATCCAGTTTCTTCAGGTTGGTTGTTTTGGCAGATCACTTGCCTGCAATATGTCTGGGTACAAAATATCTGTCCCTTTGTAATTTTTCTTCTATTTCTGTCCTGGAGTATCTATTTTACATAATGCCAACAAGGAATAAATGTTACATTGTATTATCAAAATTCACTAGGGTGGCTTAAAGATGTTTATGTTTACAGATGTTCATTTCTGCATCATGAGTGAGACTAGAGTGTGAGGCTCATGTGAGTATGAACCATGGGTTTCTCGTATATATGTGTACATGTGCATATCCATGTGTTGTGCATATGTATGTATGTACATTTGTGTACGGATTCTCATGCATATGTTTTTGCACCCGTTCATGATTTGAAAATTGTCGGTGTTTCAAATGCATGACAAAAAAGCTTTGCTAGTGGAGGTGAGATAAATTCTGATGCTGAATTTTAAAAATGGAAGCTCAGTGGAAAAACAACCTAGTAAAGTTGAAACTAACTAGGAATCAGGCTTGGGTCAAGGCAGTAGCAGCTGGGTTTTCATAGCACTATGTCTCAAGTTCTATTCCTGTGTAACCTTGTCAAAAAAAGAAGTTGAAACCAATTCTTTTTGCTCTAGGCGTTGGGAATGTAAAAGTGTGCGAGTCAGTTTTATTCAGTGGCTCCTTTGGAATTTGGAAGCACTTGTAAATTCTCCTCAGCCTAAGAAAGATTAAAGATTCTCTCTTACATGATGATGCTATGAATCTTTGAAAATCTCTTCTTAAACTGGTGCCATCAGAACTTAACCGGACCAGCTGATCAAGCTGCCAACTGGTCTTCAAACTAGTTCAGTCCAGTGTTTTTTTTTTTTGAAATTGTAGCTGGTTCATTCAGTTAAAATATGAATCTTAAAATTTTTTAGGTTCTCTGTGTTTTAGGGGTTCTGCCTGATTCTTATTGGCCCAACAAGGTTGATGATCCATTGAACTGCTATAGGAACTGGGCAAACACTTTTCTGGTATGGTGTCAGGTCCGGTTTTGGTGAACTTCTCTGAAAATCTGTTACTCCTGAAAACTTCTCTTCAGGATTATTTATTCTAATAATTAAAAATTTTAAGAAGATTATCGTATATAACACTCACGTTCTTTTTTTTAACTTAATATTCATGGACCCCCTATCGTACATCTTAGCTTTCTTTTTACATGTATTTCTCCTGATTCCTTGATATGTTCCCCCAACATTTTTTTATGGAAAAGGACGTGAACTCTTGAAACTATAATCTCAATTAACCTTTGGTCTTATAAATATCTCATGGAACCTCTTAAGTTAAACAAAAAAAAAAAACATCCAACCCCATTTTTGTCTTTTTTTTTTTTGTCTAAATTATAAAATTTACTTTTCTTTTGTTTCTTAATCACCCGGTTATCTAAATTATGGAAAATCTCTCTTTCTTGACCTATGGACCTCTTCCTTCTACTATCTCTTGCAACTTTTTTAGATCTCTTTCATCTCGTGAACCTTGCAAGTTAACTTTTTTAGATCTCTCTCATCTCTAGCAACCTTTTTAGATCTCTGTCGTGTTGTCAAATTAAATGTACAGATATCAATTGGACGCGGTTATCATGCAGCCAGCCTTCATATTATAGAAATGTGGGGTTGGCAACAAATATATATTTAAACTATTATTTGATCCTAATTTTTAGAGTATATATAATCTTTAAGGATTGTAGACAGGGAGACTATTTATGTTGTGTACAAGGAGGTCACAATTACTTATAACCATCCGATGTGAAATCTGATAGCTTGGATGTATCATAAAGTTCGAGAAATTTTTTTTAATATTTTGACCTTGGTCAATGAAATAAATGTACCTATCAAATTTCACATCTGGTGGTCAAGGTTAATTGTGATCATTTTGTACCAAAGGTAAATAGTCTTATTATATATTTTCACTAATATTTGACATTGAGATCATGAATTTGAAAATAAAAAAAAATTGAAAATTATAAATAATAATTATATTAACAAAAACATTTTTGCCGTTAGGTACAATTGCTTTAGATGGACCACCTATTTCAAAGCAATACCGTAAGAAACCAAGTTGTGTCCTGAATCTTTTCTTATGGAATCCTTGCCTGCTCAGCCGCAAGACCAAGTAAGAATGATAGCTTTACTTTCAATTTTCTCCATTTTTTTCATGCTTACTGGTTTTCCTTCTTTCACCCCTACAATAACAACCAAACCCACCCCATCGGGACTAATTCATATGTCCCAGTAATTCCTTTAAATCAATCGCCATTCTCTCTCCAATCTGTATCTAAACTAGTGTTCACAAAATCGAACAGGAATGGTTAACCGGACATGGGTTCAGAAGCGCTTTAACCGGCTTAACAGATAAATTGATCGATTCAACCATTCTAACCGGGCAAGTCTCATACGGTCAAAAAAGT